TATATATATACAGGCCCCCAAGACAGATACAGGCTCTGGCATCATGAGATTCCACAGCTCTGAATCATGCACCCAAGTCAGGTAGAAGCAGCAACCCAGCCTCACCCCTATTTCCAGCCCAACTCCCAACTTCTTCCTCAGGAGCAACACCATACAGAATTATTTTAACTCCTGAGACTCATAATCCCTCCATTGGAAACCTGGAACTTGGAAAAGCCTCTTAATTTTACTTAATTGATACGCACATGTGATACCTGAGGCGCTCATTATTCCCATCTGTTTCTCTTTGGAGTTATGTGCCTGTCAGGTCCAATTGTTTTAAGGGGTTCTGGGTTAATGAGAGTGAGTGGTCAAGAAGAAAAACGCAGAAATGTAAACAGAAAACTTCCGGTTGCATGATGAGTCTGGTAACTTGCTTATGGAAGTTCAAAAACACATCATAGGCATTTAAGGGTTGGTCAAAATCTTGCTTGACTCTTGGGACAGTTCCATCAGCTGATAGTCTTTGATAAGATTCATTGAGCACCTAGTACATGTCACACATTGTGTTGAAGAACTTCAAAGGCATTAGTTCCTTCAATATTCCCAACATGCCTATGAAGTGGTTTCCTTTTATATTTAGTCCCCCTTCACAGATAAGAAAACTGACATTCAAACAGCTAGTAAATAACAACGCTGGGATTTAAATCCAGATCTGACCCTGCTCCCCAACCCCCCAAGATCTAGCTTTTTTTTTTTTTAAATTTTTTTTTTAACGTATTTATTTATTTTTGGGACAGAGAGAGACAGAGCATGAGCGGGGGAGGGGCAGAGAGAGAGGGAGACACAGAATCGGAAACAGGCTCCAGGCTCCGAGCCATCAGCCCAGAGCCCGACGCGGGGCTCGAACTCACGGACCGCGAGATCGTGACCTGGCTGAAGTCGGACGCTTAACCGACTGCGCCACCCAGGCGCCCCAAGATCTAGCTTTTTTAACCACATAGTGGTTGGTCTCCCAAAGCCAGAGGAAAATACCTCTGAGGGATGCCTTATCTATCCATTTGGGCACCTCCGCCCTGGAGAAAATCCTCAACCAAGAAACTCCCACACAGGAAAGACTGCCTCATCAAAGCAAGAAGCCCCACCCTAGACACACACACCTGGGATCAGCACTCCCAAATCCACCCAGATGGCCCCCTAGCCCCTTAAAGGAAGTCTCCATTGCCCAGCAGGATAAAGAAACCCTCTCCCATTCCTGAGGACCTCCCCACCTCCCTTGGCCCACTACCCCAAATTTCAGAAGAGGAACGGCTATAGAATTTGCAGGACCTACTGCAAAATGAAAATGTGGGATCCCTTGTTAAAAAAAAAAATCAATAATTTCAAGAATTCGAGAATAGAGCATTAAACCAAACCCTGGGGCCCCTCTTCTGCGACTGCACTGGTCACTTGCTCATAAAGCCGGCCCTGCTTCAGAGATACACTTTCAGTGAAGGGACTGGCTACCTCAGTCAGAATCCCCAAATCCTTGGGACCTGGGGTGGAGGGGAGACGTACGTAGGACACCCAACTTCCCAAGATATTCGAGAACACCTTCGCAAATTTGGGACAAACTTCGAAAATTTGAAGGCACTTCTCCTGGCTTGGGCATAAAGTCTCCTCGCACCCCTCTGGTCTCTGGGTGGTCCTTACACCCCGCCCCAGCTCCACCTTCGGGGTGTGTGGGCCTCACCGCGTGCAGCCCATTGCCGGGGCAACCGACGCCGCGAGAGATGCATTGTGGTCCGCAACAAAATGCAGGAGAAAGATCCTGAGGGAACCATTGAGGTCATGGGCCAATGGGAGAGTCCTGGGGGCTGCGTCAAGCCAATGGGGACGTTCGATGGGGGGCGGGGCCGGCGGGAGCAGGGCGGGGCCTAGGCACTAGGCGGCGGCGGCTGGCGTGGGGCTCCTTAGATGCGCCACGGCTTCGGTAGCGACGGTAGCTTCAGCCGGCTGTGAGCGTCGCCAGCCCCTCCCCCAGGAGACCGTTGCAGTTGGCCA